TAATCTAAACAGGTAAAGAGCCGGCCAGAGATCTGCCACAGACGACCCATAATCTAAACAGGTAAAGAGCCGGCCAGAGATCTGCCACAGACGACCCATTAATCTAAACAGGTAAAGCCGGTCAGAGATCTGCCAGATCGAAGAAAACCAAGCCTGGGGAAATATACCCAGATGCAAAATCCATACCCAGCAAGAGGAAACACATGAAATCGTCATTTAAACAGCTTTTCACACCAACGCGACACAAATCAACAATCTATCGACAAAAAAAAAAAAATGAAACAAAATTTGCTAACACCCAACTCAAACAATAACGTTAAAGAGATAAAATCTCATAAGTACAGAAAAATTCATCCATAAAGGAAGAAACAAGCCAAATGAAAAATTAGGTTTAGGTTAAAGTTTTTACCTTTGACCTAACCAAAAAGGCCCGATCTCGCCGCACAATTAAAGGCCGTGGACCGATTTCAGGCCGCTACAAAGCGAAAGATCTAGGGTTTTACAGCGAATAGAAGAAGATTGAGGGACGAGGGAGGAGGAAGGATGGGGAGAGAGATTTGGGCTTTGAACAGAGACCCGTAAGTCTAATTGGACCTGAATGGGGGAAAAGAGTAGTTGGGACGAGAAGATAAGGTTATTGGTTTTGGGGTATGTGGCGTGGGGTTAGAAAAAATAAAAAGAAGGGGTGTTATTATTATTTGGGCATGGACCTCACCTTTTGATTGAGGTCCGTTTTAAAGCATTGATTCGGTCTGGAGTGTCTATTCTGCTCATTTGCTCAGCCTCAGCGTGAGGGACGCCACAGGCAAAGACTCTTGAAAAAATTTTTGAACGAACCGAACCGGACTACAATTCAAAGCCCACCTATCCTTTCACCGTTTGTTTAACTTTGGGGGCGTGAGGTACTGTAGGGCAGGTAGCCCACCCGCCTGCCCGAATGTTAATGGATTATTATTGGTGTGGGCCCACTTTAGCCCAATTGTTTCTTCCTTTTGGTATTTCAAATTCAATCTTTTGTTTGAATTTTTTGGCAAAAAAAAAAAAAAAAGAAAGGGGAAATCTTTTGGTTGATTTCATGGATGCCCTTCATGACTTTTTGAGGCAAGGTTTTGGACTGAGGTTCCTTCCGCCTATATGTGTTTTTGTCTGTTGCAATTACTAATTCTATGCTAATTTTTCTAAATCCAGCTAATCCAATAAATAAAAGAATTCAATGAATAAGACAATTTGAATTATTAAAAATAATATTTTTTTGTTTTAAAATAATTAATATTTTTTATTTTAAATTTGTTTCAAAATAATTATTGTTTTCTTATTTTTTAAGAAAAATAAATATTTTTTTATGTTAACCATATTATTTTCTAATCATTTTAATTAATTATTTAATCACAAAGAGTCTCTTTTTATCTCTTATTTTTTTAAGAGTAATATATATAAATACAAATATTATCTTTAAATTCTTAATTTGAGAAAAGAAATTTAAAAAACAATAATTATTTTGAAATAAAAAAATAATTATTAACCATTAATTACTAACCATTACTTTTAAACTACTATAATAAACAAACCCTACTTGTACTTTTTTTTTCTCTAACTTTGATCTTCTAAACAAATTTAGCTCCCTAACTCCATTTTGTAATTTAGTCATCCCTGAATTTAAAGGTGTATGTGGTGCAATTTGGTTTAAATTTTAATATTTTTTAAACTAAACTAATTTAAACTTTACTATAAATTTTTCAACCCAAATTTAGATCAAATAGAAGTAGCTTGGTGAAATTGATAATTTTTAACACAATTTTAAATATATACAGTTAGGTAAAAAAATCTAAACATTAAATTATAAAAAATACAATTAAAAAACATAATGACATCAATAAACAATAAAATAATAGTACCCATTTATTAGGTTGAAGTAAGAACAAAATAATAGTACTAATCTACTAGATTGAAGTTAGAATTAGTACTAAGAAGTAATTAAGATGAAAGGTATTATTACCTAGCATAAAGAAAATCACGAAAGCAGCACTTGATCACTGATTAACTGTAATACCCAGAATTTATTGCTATTATTATTTAATTTCTTAAGGATGGGTATGCAATAAGGTGGAAATATGAGGACTTATGTGTATAATGGTGGTAAAGATGAAGGAGTGGCTTGTAAAATGTGCAAAACTTAACCTAGAAATTTAAGAATAGCGTGATTTTTCTGGAGAACCGGGGAAGGGGCTGTGGGTTTTCCTCACTCAAAAGAGCAGTAAGGTGACTGCACAAATTGGGGGAAAATAGTTGCTAAGTCCATCCAAGGTAAATTTCCTTAGTTTTATAATGATTTCTTGGTTTTAATTTAGGAAGTATCTTGAAATTGTGGAATAGATTTTGGGAAAGGATGGTTCTGTCGAAGAGGGCTTTGGGTTTTATTTGTCTTGTTAAGTTAATGGAAATTGACTTGTCTAAAGTAGTCTTATGAGGTTGGCTTGCAAGTTTAGCATGGTATATTGAATTTTTATTGTGGTTGTCCATTTCTTCTTTGGCGAGGCAAACAAGTGGGAAGCTTTCATGGCTGATGTGTGAAATTTAATGAGTATTTTATTATATCAAAAATTGTAAAAGAGGGAAAGCTGCTTAATGGGTGGCGAATTGAGTAGGGAGTTTTGGAATTATGTTGATTCATAATTAAAGGCATACAGTGTGTGGAATTTGGCTGAAATGAACAATTATTTGTAGGAAAAAGGGCCTAAATAATTCTTGGCTTTGCATTCACTGGCGCCAAGTCAATAACCGAGGTAAGTGGCATTACCCTTTTTAGAAATGCTGGAAAAATAAATTATTCTTTCACTTGTTATTGCGAAATTAATTTATTTGAAATCTAAGTATATTTTTTACTATCTCCTTGTGGTATTTTTTCTGGAATGCATTTACTTATTTATGTGTATATTTATTTATCATTTTCTTTCTTTAAATAAATGTGGATTAAGCATGTTGGTTGTCAACTATTTGAGATGAGGGGATTTGATAGTTTTGTGATATAGAGACTTTGGAATTGAAAATTTATTTGAAATTAAGGTAGCTTGGTTTGCATAGAATCGTCGGGAACCATTTTAGATTATCGTGCCGTAATAGATTATCGAACGGTAAACCGTGTTAGACTATCGAACGGTAAACTGAGTTAGACCATCGAACAATTCATTTTTTTTATTTATTTTGTCGTAATAGAGTATCAAACGACCAGTTGATATTCATGTGCCGCAGCCATGTGGGATTGAGAAATTGTTTTACTGATGAGTTTCTTTATATTTGTTTCATCCAATATAATTTAATTACTTATCTTATATCACTTTTTAATTAAGATAATTATGCTTGATCGTACTAGTTGGGTATGCTACTTATTGGGCATGTGGAGCTCACATTGTTTTATTTAATGTTTTCAGATACTAAACATGGAGCATCTGGGAGGCAGGGGAATTAGAGAGCCACCTTAGAAATAGACTATTTACTTCTTTCCCATTATGCTTAGCATTCGTGGACATTTGAAATAAAGAGATTTTAATTTAGTGCTAGTTATACTTCAGATTTTTGGTGCTAGAGTATTATTATCATATATATATTTTTCTATTAATTTTCTTAAAAGTGAAGAATAAATCTTATGCAAAGCTGCAGGGATAAATTTTAGAGACTGATTTAGCCTTACATGCTTTTGGGGTCACTCCTAAAGGTATGTGGCATTGTCATGTCCTAACCCCTAAGTTGGGGGCGTGACATTAACACAGCAAATCAAAGATTACAATCAAGGCATGTAAGCCTATACCATCATTGTTAAGAAGGTAGAGAGAGAGTTCTGCGAGTAAACTTTTTGTTTTTATATATAAGGGACAGTTAAATTAAGGTTACTTCATAATTAAAAAGGAAAAAAGTTAGAGCTAAACTATTTTTAAAGTCAGTTAATAGAATCACGTTTAGTATACTTGTTGTGATTTTGGGTTTTTTTTTTTTCTTTTAGTTTTCAAAAGTTTAAAAATTTTAAAACAAAATTAAGAGGTTTTATAAGATTTGTTCTTGTTTTATTGGTGAAGAAAAGATATTATTTCAAAGGGGTATATGGATACCTTCTCCTCAAGGTTTTGTCAAGATCAATGTGGATGGTTTAGAAAAGATATTATTTCAAAGGGGTACATTGGTACCTTCTCCTCAAGATTTCGTCAAGATTAATGTGGATGGTTTAGTTTAGGGCTCGCTGAGTGAATTTGTAATAGGGGGACTATGCAGGAATTCTAATAGTGAATGGTAATTTGGTTTCATCCAGAATTTAAGCGCTGGTTTTGCATTCAAAGCAGAGCTGTTTGCTATTTGCTATTTGGAAATGGTTGTAACTAACATGGAACAAAGGCTATTAAATGGTTATTGTCAACAGTGACTCGTTACTAGCTTCTCAAAAGTTGGCTACAAAATAAAGTTTAGATGTTGCACTTTTAAATTTGGTTTGTAAATGCAATGATTATAGTTTGAGCGTTCTTTCAAATGTTCTATGAGACACAAGTTTATTTCGGTTTTGAGTTATCTCAAGTTTTGTGAATAAATTGTGCTTTGAACTCCCCAACATTTTATACTGACGAAGTTTGAAACCTCTATTTGCTCAAAAATTGTGAATCTCTGACTCTAAGCTTTTGTTTTTATGATTTAAAGGCTTGTCTTTTAGTCATGTCACTTTATTAAAAAAAAATAATGGGATAAGAATCTGGCACTAGAAAAAAGGAGTGCAACATAAATTATCCTTCGTATTGAGAATTTTTTAACCCAACTTTTACATAATTAATATTACATCCATTGCATACGATCATATGTTTTTCTTCTATAACTATAAAAAACAGATTCATGTGCGTAACGAACCTTTTGTATTTTTATTTGTTGAGTTTGTGTGCAACAAACCTTTGTATATTCTAATTTGCTGATGTTTGGGCAGCTTCGTAGTACAACACTGTTGAAGTCCTTAGCTGCTTCTACACTTGAAAATCCCAAGGATGTTTCCTCGGGGAAAACACTCCAACACTCAAGTTAGTAATACTCGATATTCTAGAGAGAGATACTCTCAAGGAGTAATTGCAGAGAGAGAAGCGTAGAGATTCATTACCTTCATCGGAGGTAGTTGGGGGGTATTTATAGCCCCAATTGCTGACATGAGGCCAAACATGTATTCACTTGATTGGTCCACGTGTTGCTGCCCACGTGGGCATGTCTCACCACCTTGGGCTAGTGGATGTGCTATTGGGCCTGCAGCATGTGGCTTGAAATGGGTGTTGGGCCTAATCCCAACATTACTCCCCCCTTAGTGTTCGGTTGACAAACTAGGTTTGATACTGGTAATAAGGAGTGACGTTCTATGGTTCGTGACCGACCTCACACATGACCGGTCTAGGCGGCTTGAAGACATAATGCTTGGTCGGATGTGCAAGTGTATGTCAGCTTCCTGCCGAGCAGGCGTGAGGAGCTGGTGTTAAAACCAGTCGAGCTTGGTGTTAATTAGCGGGCTGAATAGATGAGCTTGGTACATGTGTTTTGGGCCGTAGCTGAGGTAAATAATGATGACTGGAGTCATAGCGATCCAAGCCGAGGAAATAAATAATGACTGGAGTCATGTGGCTGGAGCGAAATAGAACATGTGACGCTAGGTCACTGCGAGCCGGAATGAAACAAGGCGAGCTTGGTGCTAATCAACGAGTCGAGCAGGTGCACGAGGGCGACCTTGCATAATGAATTCTTTGCAGCAAAGCGGAGGCAAGCAGATAGTGAACGAGCTGAACCAACCGACCCGGACGGGGTGAAATGAACGACATCCCTCGTCCTCCAATATCGGTCTTTGGGATGCATAGCAAATCTGGGGAAGTTGGTTACAATTTAACGTTCGATGTTCAAAACCGAGGTGAATCTCAGATTTGTTATGACCTGACTTCAAAGACTTTTCGAGTTGGGAATCTCTGAAGAGATCTCGGATTAGTTATGAGCTGATTTCTCGAGATTTTCAAATTTCGGATTAAGGCAGATCTCTAAAGAGATCCCGGATTTGTTACGAGCTGATCCTTGAGATTTTTCAAATTTTGAATTATGGCAAATCTTTGAGGAGATCTGCTCAAGGCGTTTGGTTTTCTTTTGCCAACGGTAGATATCCTTTTGCCTCCTCACAATAAATGCTGGCTCAGCATTTGAGGGGACATGACAGCTGCAGACGGCGCATTTTGGGTTCTTAACCATAAATGGCTGCCACGCGGACGCGTTTAACTAGGGGGCCATAAACACGCATATGGTGTTTACGGACCACCATCTGAAGGGCCAAAACAAAACAAACAGTTAGCTATTTTTCGTTCCATTGCACAATACGTTCGTACATTCTTCAAAGAAGGTTGTAGAGACGCTCCAGGCCATTTTCCTAAACTTCCAGCGAAAGGACATCCATCTTCAACAACTTAGGTAAAATGGCTTCTTTTCGCGATGCACGAGAGTTCCGAGGTAACCAAGTTGAAAACGAAGAGGTTAATGTGATATTCGTGGAGCCTATCGCCATGATAGTGCCGCCGGAGTTGCAGGATTCGCCCAGAACCATCACGTCGGAGAGTGGCGCTGGTTCGAGCGCGGGTGGTGGTTCTGATGACCACTGGCCTTCAACTTCCAGCTATTCGCCCACGGAAGAGACACCCAGTGAAACAGAGGGTGCTAAAGAGGCTGGGTGCAGTGCGCCGGTGATGGGTACAGCAGCTGAGGTGGTTTTGTTTGAAAGGTGAGAAAGTCAGGTTCTCAGTAGAAGACTAGACAACCTTCGCAAAGCCCCCAAAACCTTATAGACCGCCTTTAAGTTCAGGGCGGCACTACATCACGAGGTTGCAGATGATGCAGCCATAGTGAAAAGATACAAGAAGTTGGAGGAGATGGTGAGGCGATACTAGATCCCCCAAACCATCCTGATCCGAGCTGAGACACCAAACGAACAGGCGTGCTCAGTATCGCGAACGGGCTAGGTGCCAGTATACGTAGACCATTTTGACGCCAATCTATGTTTTCCTCTGCCCTGACTAATTTTTGACGTCTTGGCAGAGTACGAGCTGGCCCTTTCGCAGCTTACTCCCAACAGCATAAAGTTTATCATAGGCTTTATGCTGTTGTGCAAAAGGTTGGAGGTGCCTGCAAAGGTGGTGGTCTTCAGGTCGCTCTTCCTGTACCGTTTGTGCCCGTCCACCAGTGGAACGAGATGGTACTACATCTCGGGAAGAGAGAAGATGATGATATTCACCAACATAAGAAACAAGGTTGCGAGGTGGAAGAGACAGTTCGTCTTCATTCGGGATACACGAATAGAGAGGATCAATAACGAGCTCGCCGCCCGCCTGTCAGAGTGGCGTACACCCAACACCTATATGAATTACCCACAGCTGACTGTTGGTGAGGTCAACTTGAAGAATCGGCTGCTTGATTATGTTAAGGCGAGGGGTTTGGTAGATCTAAAAGCCTTGGTTACCCCGGAGCAGATCGCCTTGCTTGGGTTTGTCGATGTGGCAAACCTACATTCTGAAGGTATATTTTTATAGTATAGTATAGTTTCTAGTCGATCTGAGTCTTATGCCTTTGTTTGTGTAGGAGAAATGAGCAGCATATTGGAGAGGTAGCGTTAGAGAGTACAAGGCTCAAGGAACCGGGGAGCTGGGTCTGGTTCCCAACGTCAATCTTGCTTTGACGAGCAGCCGCCTACTGCACCGGGGCGCAGCTCATAGCACAGAAGTTCGAGCTCGGCACAGAGGCCGTGTGCCGAGTAGAGAGTTGAGCCTGCGCCCTCGAGCTCGAGAAGGCGCGTGTGGAAGGACTCAGATGCCGAGGATGACGTCCCCCTCATCCGGCGGAGGACAAGTACTGGGAACCAGCCCGCTCCAGCTGCTGCTGCGCGACCTGCCAGCGTGCCCCAAGCGCTAGCTCGTGAGGTTGCCAAGCCAGCACCTGCCTCATCGTCTATAACGGGGCCACGAATTGCATACCCGGACGGCTTTAGCTACGTACAGACAGACTGCCAGGCCGCGATGCTGCAGGGTATGCAAAGCTTCGTGCCTCTTGCAGACCGACAACGTGCGAAGGGGCACATTAAGTAGCATGGAGGACATGCTGCTCTAATAAAGCTGATGGATGTAAGTATATTGACTGAGCTCATTGTTTGTGTCTTATTATTTTGTCTTAGAAATTGATGATTGTATGTCTATGACAGGCGTTCAGCTACACTATCGCACTCTTTGAGTGCGAGCAAGGAGCAAGGGCGCAGAACAACGAGCTCCAACAAAGCTGCAAACAACTGGCCTCTGAAAAAGCCAGTTTGGCTGATGAGGTCAGTTGTTTGCAGAGCTCAGAAATGGCGAACCAAGTGGCATCAGCCAAAAGCCGAGCTGACGGGCTGGCCCGCAAGGTCAGCAAGCTAAGGGAGGAGCTTGACAGGGCTCAGGCAGAGAAGGAGAGTGGCATTCAAGCTGCCAAGGAGGAGGCCGGTCGTGCAGAGGACCGGAGAAGACCGAGCTAAGAAGACAGAATTTGATCGCGAGAAGACTCTACACGAGCTGAGCGCCCTGAGAGAAAGGGTCTCACAAGCTGATCAGCACGTCGCCCAGGCTGAGGCGTCCTTGGAGACGACCAAAAGGCTCCACCAGCGCAACGTGTGCTTTGCCCGCGCACAAGGGGCTGAATGGCTGGTAGGAGCAGAGATGTTCTAGGACGCCGTCGCAGTTGCCTCTGCCAACACTACCACGGACATTTTCAACAAGGTTCATGGAAAGGTGCTACAAGTCCAGGCTGACTTTCCCATCGGTGAGCTGGCCTTCTTCGAGGGTGAGGAGATTGACGAAGAAGGGGAGAGCCTCGCCCAACCAGCTGACACTAGGGTAAAATTGAAGTAGGAGCTCAACAAAGAGGGGCTGCCCGTGTGGCCCCTTTCTATCGTTGAAGAGGGAGAGGACATGGAGGGGTTGCCGAGCTTCAATGCTTGGGTGGCAGACCCCATGATGTGCCTGCTGAGCCTTCTAACACTTCCCCCTTTGCTCAGCCTCAGCCCGCACCAGCCGTTGGTCCTGCTCTCTCTCCTGCTCTCTCTCCTCCAGATCGGTCATCTCCAGCTCGATCTGCTGCTGCACCTAATGACGCATCCATCCCCGTCGACCTGACGGATGATTAGCTTAGGACATTTTGCTTTTTCTTTTGTATTTCTTTTGATATTTTTGTGTTAATCAATGAACTGATTCATGATATGTACTTCATATGTAAAAGAACATTCATGAAATACAATTTAAACTTCTTGCTTTGCAATTTCTGTGTATATTGCTGTATATTGTTCTTTACATTTGATTTACAACAACTTGAATTAAAATAACCACATCAGAAAGCTAACTGTAAAACTTTCTAAGGTTATGTATGTTCCAAATGAATGGTAATGGACGACCTTGTAAATCTGCTAATTGATAACACCTAGGTCGCTCAATATAAACAACCATATAAGGACCTTCCCAATTAGGAGCGAGCTTGCCCATATGTGAATAAACATTGGTTAATCCAACTTTGCGTAGAACCAGATTGCCAACCTGAAACTGACGAGCTCGAACTCTTTTATTATAAAATTTTGCAACACAACTCTGGTGCGCCATGTTTTTTATTCGAGACATCTCCTTGACTTCCTCCACTAGGTTTAGGTTCTCTCTTAAAAGTTGCTCATTATTAAGATCGTCATGGCGATCTGATCTATCATATGGCAGTCCGACCTCAACAGGGATGACGGCTTCAACTCCATATGCCAGGCTAAAGGGGGTTTCGCCTGTAGTCGAGCTAGGTGTAGTGCGACATGACCAAAGCACTTTATTGAGCTCGTCAACCCAATTAGAATGCGTAGCTAAAATGCGCATCTTGAGGCCTCGCAAGACGATTTTATTTGCGGACTCGGCTTGTCCATTTGATTGTGGAGTATACACGAATGTCAAGGCTAGCTTAATGCCATAGTCGTTACAGAACGACCTCAATGCTGTGGCTCAGAACTGCGGACCATTGTCTACGATGATCCGCTTAGGAATACCAAACCTGTACACAGATGACCGAGCTGAGCCACAGATTATATTTGCTTATAATGTATCAATGACTTAAGTCACTAAAGAATACCTACACAATATTGAATTAAACAAGAATTCTTCTATTCTCTTTTCTGTTGTTGTGGATAATGGTTTAGCTTCTATCCATTTAGTGAAGTAATCCACCGCGACAACGAGGTAAGTGCAACCTCCTTTGCCTTTCACAAAAAGGCCGAGCAGGTCGACTCCCTACTGAGCAAAAGGCTAGGGAGGCGAGAGTGATGAGAGCATTTCTCCTGTTTCAACGAAGATTCTTATGCTTAATTAATAGACAAACATGAAGTTTGCACGAACTTTAGAACAAGCTCAGATACTTGGCATGTGAATATCATCAGCGTTGAACTGGCAGGTCGAGCACTTTTTGACATAGTTCTGTGCATCCTCAACCATAGTTGGCCAGTAATACCCATGCCTCAGGAGTTTTCGAGCTGAAGTTCTTCCACCTATATGTGTGCCACATACTCCTTCATGAACTTCCCTCACGGCGTATTCAGCTTCATAAGGAGTGAGGCAGCGTAATAGGGGCATTAAGGCTGCTCGTTTGTAGAGCTGATTATCTAACAACGTGAAATGAGCCGCTCTGCATTTAATCAACTTTGCAACAAAGGGATCTTCAAGCAGCTCGCCACTGTGCAGATAATCAATGAGCGGGGTAGTCCAGCTCGACGAAAAGGGATCTGTGCTAAGCAGTTGACACCAGACTGTGAAATCGGTGTAGCTCGAAGTGTCAAGTACCTCCACAATTGTTGACCTATGGGGGTTAAGGTGCTGCGAGGAGGCCAAATTTGACAGCTCGTCAGCTCGGTGGTTATCTGCTCTTGGTATTTTGTCGATTTGGAAAGAGATAAATCCTGACTTCAATCGGTTGACCACCAAAGCATAAAGACCAAGCTGGGGATCCCTAATTTCACAGCTGTCATTCACCTAGCCTACAATGAGCTGAGAGTCACTAAAAACCTGAATGCTCTATACCTTCAGCTCGGACGTCAACTTCAATCCATAAATGAGGGCTTCATATTCTGCAGCATTGTTAGTTGTCTGAAACTTAAACCTCAGTGCATGATCGGGATTTAAAGCCATCTGGGCCCACTAACACAGCCCCAGCACTCGATCCTTCAATGTTAGCAACTCCATCAACATATAAGACCCAGATTGGGTGCTCGGGTGCCTTTTCTTCAATAGTGGCCGAAATGCACTCCACAAGGAAGTTTGCCACAGCCTGGCCCTTTATGGTTGTCCGCGGCTGAAACTTGAGGTCATACTCACTCAGCTCGACGCTCCACCCGATAAGCCGACCAGAGAGTTTCGGCTTCTGCAATATTTTTCTCAACGGCAGATCGGTGTAAACAACAATCTGATGTGACTGGAAGTAAGCTCTCAATTTCCGAGCCATGTATACCAGGGCAAAAGCAGCCTTTTCTGCTAGTGGATAGTTCTGCTCGGCGCCTTGTAAGACTTTGCTCACATAGCAGATAGGCTTTTGATTCTTATTCTCTTCCTTGAGCAGAACTGAGCTCACCGCCTCCTCTGTAACCCCTAGATACAGGTATAAAATCTCCCCCTCCACAGGCTTGGACAGCAAGGGTGCTGATGCTAGATATTGTTTGAGCTCGTCAAACGCCTGCTAGCATTCATCTGTCCACTGAAAGTTCTTGGGCTCTCTTAGGGCTTTAAAGAAGGGGAGACATCTTTCTGCCAACCTGGCGATGAACCTATGCAGTGCAGCAACACAACCCGTCAAACGCTGCACATCTTTTACAATCCTGGGCGGTTCCATCTGCTAAACGGCCTGAACCTTCTCCAAATTTACCTTAATTCCTTTCTTGGATACCACATACCCTAGGAATTTTCCTGATTCTATAGTGAAAGTGCATTTCAAGGGATTCAGCTTCATTTGTGCTCGGTGCAAATTCTAAAAAGTCTCATCCAGGTCATGTATATGATCCTCAGCTCGCACACTGGTGACTATCGTATCATCCACATATACTTCTATGTTCCTGCCGATTTGGAGCTTAAAGATGATTTGTACCAGCTTCTGATATGTTATACCAGCATTTTTCAAGGCGAACGGCATCATGACATAGCAGTAAATTGCGTCACCAGCATAAAAGGCCGTTTTCTCTTGGTCGTCCAGCAGCAACTGAACCTGGTGATACCCTGAGCTAGCATCAAGGAACTCATCCGCTCGTGTCTAGCCGCCCACTCTACCAGCTTCTCCACATTTGGCAAAGGATGAGGGTCTTTTGGACACGCCTCATTTAGGTTGATGAAGTCAATGCACATCCTCCACTTGCCATTTGGTTTTTTGACAAGCACAGGGTTAGACACCCACTCAGAGTATTCCACCCTCCTGATGAAGCCTTCTTGTAACAATTTTTGTATCTCTTCATCTATAGCCGCTTGCTTCTCAGGACCAAAAAGGCAACGTTTCTGAACCACCGGCCTTTTGGTGGGGTCCGTGCTGAGCTTGTGGACTGTCAACTCTGCTGGAATGCCAGGCATTTCATCCGTAGTCCACACAAACACATCCTGATTAACCCTCAAAAACTCCAGGAGCTCTGCTCATTCTTCTACTGTGAGCTTGGTGCCCACCTTAACTATTCTTTCTGGAACGTCAGGGTTCAAAGGGACCGTTTCTACTGGCTCTGCTTTCTGTTCTACACCCTCAGGTCGGTGTTCGATATCTGATATGCTCATTGTGTGCTGACCGAGCTGAGTTGGCCTTTGACTTTCAATAGGGCCTTTCAGGGCTGTAGCGAGCTCAACCTTCTTGAAAGTATCTTGATAGCAGGCTCTGGCCATCTTCTAATTCCCCTTAAGTACTCCTACCCCCTACGGAGTTAGGAATTTCATACAGAGATGAGGTTGAGAAATAACAGCTTTCAGCTCACAGAGGGTGGCTCTACCCAATATGGCATTGTAGGCTGACTCCATTTTGACGACCAGGAAGCTGACTGAAGCCATCCTAAAGCGTGGTTCTAAACCCACATAAATGGAAAGTGTAATTACTCCCTCCACTGGGACGGGTTGATTATTAAACCCATAGATGGGCCCTTCATACTTTTGCAACGAGTTGGGATTCAATTGCATCTTTTGGAAGCAGCTCCAATATAGGATATCGGGCGAGCTATCAGTGTCAATGAAAACCTTGTTGACGTTATGATTGCCAATATGGACTGTTGCTACAAAAGGATCTGCATGAGGCATCACGACGTCGGGTTCCCCCTTTGCTCGCTTATAGTCCACCGGGCTAAATGTAATTGGTGCATTCTCGCACTCTGCTTCCTCAAATGGGCGTTTAAGAGGCCGGTTCTTATTAACAGTCATCACCTGGCGGGCATACGCCTTACAGCCTCAGGCGCTTTGGCCCCCTGAGTGCATACCACCAGAAATCATGTTGATTGTGCCAGATGGCGAGGGTATCCCACCGTATCCAACCCCTTTGTGGTCCTTTTGGTTCTGCGTGGATGATTTTTGTCCTTGCCCACACCTATTGAATGGACGTCCCCTGTATGCTCTGGTCGGCTCGGATGAGTATGGACCCGCCTGGTAAGGATTTGGATTGCTACTGAGCTAATATTCAGGTGCTTGAGATCGGCCATACTCTTGCACAAAATGAGTCTGGGTGGGTTGCCGAACAAAAGGCTTCTGTACATACCCCTCCAATTTTCCATTGCAAGCTAAAAATTCAAGCTCGTCCTTCAGGCTTTGACGGTCTTCTGTGTTATGGCCAGATGCATGGTGATAGTCACAGTATTTGCTTCTGTCAGCGCGTGAAGAATCATGCGTTTGGGGAGGGAGTCTCTTGACCCAGTGCTATATTTGTGCCAATATCTGGGATCTTGACGAGCTCAGGGGGATGTAACTGTCATATTTCGGATAGGAAGGCGATTTTCCTCTTTGCTCACCAACCTTTTGTTTCTTTTTGTCATCTCTGCTTTTAGGCTGCTTAGGCTCTTTACCCTGCTTATCATCGGCTCGTCTCTTGAAAGATTGAAAATCTTCGGATAATATGAAGCTTGCCGACCTGTCATTTACTTCATTCCACGACTTAGGTGGATTCTCTAGCAGGTCGTCTAGAAATCGGCTAAGCTTCAAACCATGCAACAAGGCGGACAAGCAGATGGTATCAGGGATGTTGTCAATGT